TTAATACGTAGACGAAGAATCGATTCGATTATTTCTTAGAATTTAAAGATAAAGAAAAGAAAAGGAATAAAAAAAGGAAGGATTTATGTATATATATACTAAAATAAAGGGATGTTATGTGAGGGGCTAGGCTCTATTAGGCCTAGAGCTCGGGAACGCCACCATTCCCGGCCTGACCTCTATCGCAGGCGATTGGGCAGGCGATTACTGCAGGCGATCCAGGTGATCCGTGACAGCAACCGACAGGCTCGCAAGTATGCTTTATTGGCAATGGAGAAACATTACATCGGTATTCACAATCAGAGAATGCCTCGAATTCTCACTGGCTTGGGAAATTCTCTAAGTTAGCTCCAGGAGTTTGACGAGGCCTTGTCCACCCAGCTAGAAGCGAAGAGGTTATGCGGGGACGTTTCCCCAGAGGAGTCGGATGCCATCACAATTATCTAGCTTAATTTGGGATTTCTTATGTATCGATGTGGTGACCTCAATAATGCCGAGCAAATCCTAAGAGCAACACTATAGGCTTATCCAAAAACCCCGCCCGCCTTGTACGCCCTTGGGGATACCCTTCTGGCGCAAGGGAACATCGAAGAAGCCATCGCCGTTCATCTTCAAGGCCTTAAAATCTATATCGCATTGTTTGGGGATTAGCATGCTCTAGTAGCTAGATATGCTTATAAGGTTGGAGAAATTCTACTGCTCCGCAAAAGTGACCAGAAGAAGAGAGACAGCCAGGCTAGCTCCCCTTTCTTTGATATACCACCCGTTAAGCATTGGATTAACACAGGGCGATTGAACAGAGATTATATCCAAAAAGCCATAAATAACCATCTCAAGCAAGAGTCTCCTTATTATACCCTGAAAGCGTACGCTCGAGGAGCACGAATGTTGGCCAAAGCGTCTGAGATGGAAGAACGGCAAGAGGATGCTGCGAAGTGGTATAACGAGGCATGGGCGTTGAGAGAATATATCGACGGTAAGTGCAGCTCTCGAGACGACATAGACATGGACTACACATCTGTCATGTTCTACTGGGATCAATAAATCGATTCAGGACATCATATCTACGGATAAGGCTCGGCGATCTGCACGACCCAGAGAGCCAGAGTCTTCCCTTGACAGCATGCAGTTACTCTTTACGGACCATGAACATCGCTTCCTGCACGTTCAGTGTACTCAAATAGGCTGCAGATCTCGAATTATGTCTTCTATCTTTTTATACTTCTTATACTAGCAGTTCAATATAGTTTGCTGGACTTCCACGTGCGATATCACGTCGAGGCTTGGAAATTCCCGATTGGTAGCATGACGGCGGCGCTAGCCATAACTTTTACTTTTATAGAGCTGGGTACTAGTGAAGACCTCGAAGAGAACTGTCCCAAGCGCAAAGGTGTCTATCACTTTGGTCGGTATCCTGCCGGCCTCCTCAAAACTGTCGATTCCTTAGATGGGGAAGCGCCCGATGGTACAGAAGAGAGCATTCAACGAGCATATCAGCCCCATCGATACTCGAGATTATTATTATATTAAAAAATAAAAATTATCGATAATAAATTTATATATATTCTTAGAAAAACCGCCGCTTTTTTTTTATTAAAGAACACGAAACTTCGTTAAAAAAAGCCTTCACAACAATTGATCGTCACAATCCCCGGTGCTTTATGTCGCAGTCTTTGACCTAGGCTATGAGGTTATCGTGCCGCCATAAATACGCGTGATATAATTTATCTACTGTCGGCAGTATTACAAGAAGCATAATTCGTCCCTGATTGGGACAGCAATGTTGAAAAGCTGGCAAATTATGCTCGATAGCATAGGCAGGGAATCTCGAATCTTGGCTAGAATGCTTCTTTTGGACTGACATGTGACTTCTTAGTGTTGTTATGTTTTGTGCCATAAGGTTACGTCGCTGATGCTCGCGGTCGCAAACCAGTCCAGCTCCTCATTGCTGTCGCGCTCTAGTTCAAATATGCCTACGTACAAATAATCATTTATTTTAGAGGTACTATTCCATTACGGATGACCTGGCTATCTTCGATTCATAATGTTCTGGGAGATGGTGTTTCGATCGTCAGTGGGCTTCTATATGCTATAATATCGGAAGTCGTTCCTGAGCAGAAAGGTAGGTTCCTTTCTTGCTATGTTGGCGGAACACAAAGCTCACGCAAATTTCACAGTCACAATATTTTTCTAGGTACAAGCCATAGTCATTACTACACAGTTCGAAGATCCCCTAATCCGCGCCGCGCTGATGCCCTGGAATCTTTAAATACCCACGCTTCTCGGCCTCGTTGTCGAAGCCATACTGTAGCTATTATATTGGTTTCGATACTACCAGAAACTTTAAATTACGGTAAAACACCCGCCCCAACAGCATTAGATTCATCGAGTTCGTCGGCATCCTCGGTGAAATCGCTTTCACGATAGCAAAACTTGCTACACCACATTCTTAACTTTGCGTCATTTTTGGTCTCCGACGTTCGAATATTGCTAATCGTCTCTGGATTTCTCGTTCACATGCTCTTAATAAACTGAGATATTCTGCTCCAGTATATATCGGCTCGTTATAAAACTTCCCTTGCTCGAGTCACAGTCTTCATTTTCATCCGATCCGGCCTAGTCGTCATAATATGCGTTGTTATTTTGCTTGCCGCCCACGTGTTTTGTTTTTACTCGTTGTTTTAGCGCCGAATTACTTCAATCTTGGTACCGGTTTAAGTTCTCAACTCGTTCGGCTGGGGGCTCTTCGCTTTTCTCGGAAGTTTAGCGACTAGCTTTATTAACGTGCATTATATTGCGGAGTTGAATTTTTTTGTTAGTGTTATTAATATTATCGGGCTTATGTTTGGAAGCCCCCTTTTCGCTGTGCTTTTTAGCAAGGGCGTTGAATTAGAAGAAAAGTGGTATAGCTTACCATTTTCTTTTGCGCTAAAGCTATTGTAGTTATTGGTTTGGCCCTAACGGGAATCAGAGTGCGGATTCCCGAATTAATTTGAATTCAGCCTCATTGTATTGCATGACATTTCCTTGATCGTGGGTACAGACAGGGGTATTTCCTCTCCAATAGAGAAATACCTAAAATTTCAAGCTTCTTTTCCTTTCGGGATCACTCGCAGTATATCGTATACGTGTCAGAGGATGATCCAAACTTTTAATGTGACCGTGCTGGTGGATTGGATTCTAGAGATCCAGATTCTTGGGCCGTAGACTCTGAACCTAGGACTCGGGAATAGACAAAGCAGTGAGAGGGAAGGCGAGTAAGAGACTTGATTTCGAGTCCCTTTTACTTCTTTGGACACGATGGGCTGGACATCTGATGGTTTTTCATACAAAAGAGTTGAGTGAGTGGGTAAATCTATAGAAACATGCCGAAATCGAGACAATGAAGTCATGAACATGGTTTTAGAGCTTTACGCCATATTTTAAATGTTCGAGAAGAGTCTTTTGCGTGTAAACCAATGCGTGGAGGTCCTGACTCCCGGTGTGGCAGAGCTTGGAACGAACAGTTTCTCTCGTCTCTTTCTTGCCAGTTTGGGTTATCTCCATCTTCGCCGGATTTTTTCCAGCTCCATGTCCAACCTCCGCGGTTGAATTAGTTTCTAGATTTATGGAGTTGGATCCTAACGTGGAGGACATCCATAGCGACTCTAAGATGGTCTGCAACATGTGTTTCGGGCTGCTTGTGTGCGCCATTCTGGCGTTCTTTCATCTTTAGTGTTGCTTTTACTTGAGACGATCTGCTCTGCGTGTTTGGTACGTCTGTACTTACTTGTGAGCAGTTCTTCGTGAACTTTCGGCTCAGACTTTTCGGAATACAGTATCACGTGGTGACCCCGGCTTTCACAGCTCGTTTAAAGCTTGAGTTAGAATTATGAGCACATGAAAAATCCAATAATTACCGATAATTTCCCTCTTCTGTCATTACTCTTAGTTTCCTTCAATATCTCAGCTTATCTATCGCCGCGATGCCACTTGATCCTGGCCGAAGTTGCGGCTCCCGAATCTCCTTTTCCTGATCATGCATGAACTGTCGAGTTGGCCAATTGGACGAGAACTTGACAAATTGATACGATATCGAGCTGGGCATCATCGGTGTATGCTTGAATCAACGTTTGCCTTGAACGCGAATCGTTGAATTTACCCGCTTCCTTAGCCATCATCAATACCGAAAGTCAAACAACCCTGTGCTGCGACCCGGCGGAAGTGTGCAGTATCCACCTTGAGGTGGACTTTATGCATAGTTCCAAGAGAGTTCCCTCAACTATTTTTGTTCCTCTTTACGCAATATACAATGACTTTGTGATTTCGAGCGAACCCTAGGGAATCAAAACAACGGAACCTTCTCTATATCTTAGCGAAACATTGGGTTGTCTGTTGCTTTCGAATCTCGAAGTCTGTTTCGAAAGTCATCATTAACTTCATTTTCATATTCTTACGCGGCTCTGAATTGGTGTGGAATATTCGTCCACATGCAAAGCAAATACTATATTTTGACGTCCGTCTGGGGAACTTATCCTTGCCGACTCTTGGTGC